AGCTAAACATGTAACGTGGAGAATTGGAACCAAATCTGAAGTGCACTTCTATCTGCCTCAGTGTGTTATTAATGTGACAGCCTCCTGGAAACAGAAAATACAAATATAGAGAAACCTTTCAACACTCCCTCACAGATCCTTGTCCCCAGCCGAAGCGTGGTTTTACTGAACTGTTTAACATGTCCAAGCTTTCAAAAAATACTTAATACTTAAAATACTTAATTCTTTCTAAAATATCACACATTTTAAAGTCTTCTGAAATTGGATTCTCAGTCTCTAGTCAATTACAACAGTCTCAGCTAGTAGGAATACAGGAAAGGAATTCAATTAGCAACTAACTCATCAAGGAAGTTTTCTATCTCTGGCAACAGACAAACGTTTGACCCTGCAGAGCAGTACAAAATGAACCATCAGAGAAGAGGAGTTGCGTTAATCTTCAATCACGAGCACTTTTTTTGGCATTTAAGGCTGCCAGATAGACGTGGGACTTTGGCAGACAGAAACAATCTGAAACGCAGGTAAGAAACTTGGTTTTTCCCCCAAAGCTTAAAAAAACCTGAGCTTCAGAAATTGATCTCAAATAAGCAGCCATAATCTCAACAAAGAAAGACATAATTAAAAAAAACTTCAAGGGACATTCCTGTATGTCACAGAAATGCTGGCACAAGTCATACGAGTGCAGCACATCCAGCCCTCTCTTAGGCCAAAGTCTTCAAAGTAACTTGAATTAGATACTACATATGCACTGGACACCAGTTTGAGTCCAATATTATTTTGAGTTATTTTCATAAACAATGCATAAACATGAATATTAACTGTCTCATAGTGAAAGCAATTGAGTTGGTAGTAATCGATATATAATTTGAGAAAATGTTTTTACTAATATGTTTGTGTGTTAAAAATAGTTTAACAGACCTTGGATTTGAAGTCAGAATTTTTGACGATCTGAAAGCAGAAGATGTGCTCCAGAAAGTTTATGAAGGTAGGAGACCATATATTAGTTATGTCTAACTACTGATAGCAGAATTTCTAGACTTATGTTTTCCGTTCTCTATGCTCAGCTAACTTAAAATCTTTAATTTTCGTCCACACTGTTCAACATAAAAAGGGTTTAAGGGTTAAACTTCAGATTTTTTTTTTTATTGCAATGTAAGGAAATCTGTGCTGAGAGCTAATGAAGTTGCTGAAAGAAGTTAGCATTCAGCTGGGAGAAGTTAGTAAAATTCTTTTCTTTTTTTACTTTCAGTGGCTTGAGCCATACTTTATCACTGTGCCTTCAGATCTCTGCAGTCTTACGCTATTTGAAAATACAGTTCACTTGAAAAATAACTGATCTGAGATGAAATTATATGATACAAATGTGCCATGTTTTTTTGAAAGCGAAGATCACTGTTTAGTTATCTAAAGCGCACTTGATATTTCAGCCTCTCTGGATGACTACAGCAATGCTGACTGCTTTGTTTGTGTGTTCTTGAGTCATGGTGAGAACGATCATGTCTACGCATATGATGCCCAAATCAAAATTGAGACGATCACAAACATGTTCAGAGGAGATAAGTGCCAGAGTCTGGTAGGAAAGCCAAAGATATTTATAATTCAGGTAAGATGTTGTCAGTGTACATTTAATGGCAGAGAAGAGAGTATCACTAGTTTTTGGAGAGATTTGTGCACAGCTTCAGCTCAGTTCCTCCCATTCGTACCTCTCATCCATAGGTTAGGCTGAAATAAGTTATCTAATTTTCTTACATTCACTGTTTTCCACCAGGCAAGTTCCTTCACTTGATCACTGAATGACTTGATTATGTTTCTTGTTTTTGTTGTTGTTGTTTTTATTTCTTTCCATGACCAATGCTCATCATAGAATCGTTAAGGTTGGAAAAGACCTCTCGTCCATCTGTTTAATTGGCATCTCTAAAAAAAATAAAGTATCATATTAAGGCTTTATTGTCACAAAAATACTGATGGTGCTAAGAAGGCAAACAAAACATATACAGTAACTTCCTATTTCACTCCTTGGTTCAAAGGATAATGCAAGCTGGAAAGAATCCCAGGTCTGTGTCCAGCTTCTTGTTCGAAGCAGTCGGATATGGGGTCAATCCAAATTTGTAAGGACATCGTCGTGAGAAACCTGCTTTAGCTGACCCTGAGTTAATATTGGATTTCATCACCAATATTTTAATTGATAGAAAACTACATGGATCTTTATGAATCTACAATTATTGTAGATCTACAATTATTGTAATCTACAATTTATTTATGAATCTACAATTATTGTAGGTTAGCGTAGAAGGCAACAGGAGTCCCCTCTGTTTAAAAGTATCGTGGTAACGCAGATCAATTTCACAGAGGTGAAAACATAATCATTCTTCTCTCCCCAACAGGCATGTCGAGGTGATAAACATGATGACCCAGTTCTCGTTCAGGATTTAGTAGACGGCAAAGATGAAACCACTATTAACCAGACTGAAGTGGATGCAGCTGGTGTCTATACCCTGCCGGCTGGTGCAGACTTTATTATGTGCTATTCTGTGGCACAAGGTAGAATTCTATTTCATGTCTGTGTGTCTGATATTTCACTCTAACAAGCTTGAACACTTCCTCGTTTTGCAGTCAAAATAATGAGTACAGTTCTGCATCATCTGTTTTGCACCCTGTTAAGTGACATCTGGGAAGGAGCCCCATATGTTAGGAAAAAAGTAAAAACAACTAAAAACAAATATTCAAAATTGCAGTTAATTTGCCAAACAGAATCATTCTCTTTATAATTTTATTGCTGAGCTGTGTTCTAATAGCAGGCATTCCCCTTTTCTCCTAGACTGTAGTATTCTAGAGGCTTATATATTCCCCCATACTATGCGGCTGTACTTCCCAGTCCATCATCTGTCTTGTCCTCAGTCCCATCTGCTGCCATGCAAATTGCAGATACAATCCTGTGGACAATATGCTACCAGTTCCTAAACTGTATTCCTTTTGGCTAGACTGAGTAAGTGACATCAAAATCCTTCTGTCATTTCCAATGAGACTGGATAACTTGGTAAGATTTACATTCAGTAGTAATTCCATTAGGTGAAGCTAACCAGGATTTACTGTCGTGAATGTTTTTCAGTGGGAGTGGCTACTTACAACTGAGTATAATTTTATTTTCCTGTTCTACAATAGGTTACTTTTCTCACCGTGAAACTGTAAACGGCTCCTGGTACATTCAAGATTTGTGTGAGGCTCTCAGGAAGCACGGCTCTTCCTTGGAGTTCACAGAACTCCTTACTGTCGTTAACCGAAAAGTTTCTCATCGCAAAGTGGATATGTGCAGAGATATAAATGCTATAGGAAAAAAACAGATTCCTTGTTTTGCTTCAATGTTGACGAAAAAATTGTATTTCCACCCAAAATCTAAGTAGGTTGCTACTTAATAATGACATTCTTTAATGCTCACTGCAGAAGTGAGAAAACTACCATCTTAGATCAGGAGATTAATGCTCTAAAAACACTGTGATCAAACCTTATAGTTTGTATATGCAATAGTTTCAAAAATCTTAAGGCAAATTTAAAGCTAATATTGCAGCTCTGTTCATCTCAGGGAATTTGGAAGAAGTTTACTGGTGCTAGATTAGTAACAGGTGCTCAGATTTTACTGAAATTAACTTTTAAGGAAAAAGAAAAATTTTTGCTCAATTTATCTGTTTAGTTATGGCACACTTTTTACTATTTCCAAAACTTTTTAAACACTGTATTAGGTTAGCTTCTCTTGCTCCAAGAGTACGGTTTACAGGAAATATGCTTGTAAGGCATCTTTTTATATCTGTGTACAACAGTATCCACCATCTAATTTTTATGCATTTATTGAGGGTGGGTGGTTTTTTTCCTCTCAACACTAAAAACGTACTTAATTCCTTGAGTACAGTTATAGTTCTAATGCACATAAAGGACTTCTTGTGCTGGCGCATAATTTTCATTTGTGGCACAATTAAAGCTTATGGTGCTTTGCATCCTCAGAGGGAAAGAAAGCAGTAGTAAAATAAGGCAGCAAATATCTTGCTTTGGAAAAGCATGATTTTGGGTACAAACACGCTCTTTGACAGGGGTAAGCTTATCTGCTACACATCACTAAAGCAAATGATTTATATGGTTCAAGTTCACTTGCCACTCTTCTAGGTATCTTTAGGCAGCTCTGCAATATACAACATAAGCAAACCTTGGCACTTCAGAGGTATTGGTGTTGGACCAGACTCTGCCTCCTCTGGGCTCCAGAGATCAGCTGTGCACTGTCATTTTGTATACAGAACTGATAGTATACTTGTCATCATAGGATGTTTCAGGTTGCTACTACTGTAGCATTAGTAATTGCAATACTTAATAGAAACAATTTTTTAAAAAATTAGTTTTTACATTATTGGTACATAATGCTTAACTCTGGTAGACAGTGGAGAACTCACACTAAGGAAAGTTAATTCACTTTTCTGGGTAAAAAATAATTGACTTACAGGCTCTACTTTAGTTATATCCTTTCGTATATTGTGTTCTGAGTCACGGATATTAAGTCTTAATATGGCTACTTTGAAGCTTTGAGTAAATCATGTATTTGTGAATGTTTTTGTAAGTGCTTTCAATAAAATGCAACAATTTTACAGTAAAATGAGTTTGATGTATGTGCTATTTTTTGAGAAACATTGTCTAAAAATAGCTTACTTTTGATGAAAATCTAACCTCCACCAAGGGTGTTATACCAACAAAATGAGCACACAGAGCTAGGGAAAAGGAAAGAACAATTTCAGGGAAAAAAATCCATACTACTTGATGCAGGAGTTAATTATTTGCTAATTGTCTGAAAATGACAGCCTCCACTTTAAAGAACATTCCTGAACATCACTTTACCTGGAAGCAGAATGCTTCCATTTTACAAATATGAACTGACAAATACCTGAAGAACTTTGCTTCAGCAGTTTCTTTATAAGACCAAAATCTAAAGCAAAAAACAAACCCAAAGCCATCAAGTAATCAAATCATTTTTATAAATATTTATTGTAACTTTCAAAATTATAGCGGTCAAAAATAGCAAGTTTCTGTATAGTAATTAAATGTTCCTATCAACTCTGAAAAGACAATTCTAACGTACACCAAAACAAAGTCAGTCCTTGTTAGTAATTTCCTGGATTGGAAGTCTGAGGTGCAGAGCCTGGCGCAAACGCTTCAAAGATTCTTCTGCCTGCAGTGGGAGAAAGAATGAGTTCATCTTATGTGGCCCTTCATTTTTGCCTTTCTCAGAAGACACTGGTCTCGTACAAGAAAGCAGACTACTCAAATGGAGGATGCTCAGCTTTACAGTCCTACTCAAGCCATTCAGTTTCCAGAGAGCAGAAACTGAAACCACTTTCCCACACCCTCTCCAACACACAATCCAAAGTATTATTTTCTTGAAATTGCACTTAAAAAAAAATCATTCTCACAAGCCTATTGAAAAAGCAACAAACTCTAGCCTGTGCATGTCCAGCCCACAGGCCACACGCAGCCCAGCTCAGCCCAGCCCACCCTGCAGCTGCACCCTGTGCATTAATGCATTACCATGGCTGTGGCTCTGCCCCGCTGAGCAGCCCCAGGCTGGCACCCATTGCTAAGCACCAACTGAACCTCATGTGTGCCATCAGCAATGTATGGGCTGAAACCAGGGCACGGGGAGGGTGCAGTGCAGCGCCGACTCAAGTGATGGCAAATACACTTATGGATTGCAATACATTGGCTAAATGCAGTTCTCTATTAAAATAGCTGGAAATGTAACAAACATGGGGAGAAGGGGCAGTAGGGCAGCCTAGTGCTCAAAACCTAACTCATGTGTTTGAAATTTAACTTGTGAAAGTCTCCTTCTCTGATGAACTACTGAAGTAGTTTACATGTCAAAGGCAAACACCGTATGCTTATTTTAAAAGTGCAAACTGGTTAATAAGCAATATGCCATTCTGAATGTAAGTAACAAACCCTGAGGTCAGTTTTCCAATAGCTGAGAGTTTACTGAAAAAGTAAACCCAGAGAAGACCACCCCATTTCAGGATTGTATTTAAATACCTCTGCAAGTTCTTCTTTTAGCTTGTTGTATTGTTCCACATTAAAATGCTGGGCTTTGGATTTCTGGTAGAAGTAGTGGAGGAGCTGCCTGTCTTTGGCAGCAGGGTAAATGTAGTCCTAGCGAAGAAAGAAAGGCACATATTGGAGGTTAGCGAGAAAAAGGAGTCAGAGAAATTCAGCCTGTTTCACAATTACTTATCTAGTTCCACAGGCATGTACACACATGAGCACAAATACACCAATACAAAATGATGTTAAGAGACTACATACACAGGTATACTCTTATTTGTCATAAGGGCCCTCTTAGACTCATGCCTGAAATCATTTTTGTAGTCTCTAAAGTAATTTTCTGTAATAAAGACACAGCTTGAACCTCATGACTGAAGCCACCTGAGTAAATGGACATGACTTTCCAAGGAGTCAGAGAAAGTTCAATTACTGCTTTTTAAAGAGTTACTTGAAAGTCTCAAGCATTCATGCCAACACCGCTGTTCTAAAAAGACAAGCAGTAATCTGTATAAAGAGATTTATGTGTATCTGGATACATAAAGTAGGAATACCTCTGCCCTTGTTAAAAATCAGTGAGAAGGAATAAAACCAATGAAACTAGTAAAACATTCAAAGCCAGTTGTTCCTAAAAACAGACATGTCTCACCTTTTCACAAATGGAACCTAATATCTCATGAGGTCTGTGGATTCACCAGTATTATGGAAGGAAGCAGTAGCTACTCTTCCACATAACTGCTTAGTAAACAAAGAGATTTTCCACTACAAATGTTGGACATCAAGATGTCTATTTTGAGAGTGAAGTACAGAACTAAAAAATGAAAAAGTAGCATTCTTCAAAATCTTACAGGATTTCAGGACTAGTCTGTATTGTGCAGCTCAGTTAACATCTGGGTGCATTTATTTATGTTATTGTTCAGTGATTTGCTTCCTGGACGCTTGTAAAGCAGTGTTCATTAATTGGTATAGAACTACTAGTTGCTCTCCCTTTACAGCAATGAGCCAGGTACAATTTACTATTCAAGATGATCTACAAAAATTAAAAGAAAATGACAGATTTCATTCATCACTTCTCATATCCTGGCTGATGGAGTTTTACAGGTAGTAGTTCTGCTCAGAAGCTGGTTGATAGTGCAGGTGTAACATTACCTCGCCTGATAATATAAGGCATTTTTATCCAATCCTATCAGAAATCAATCTCAACTCCCCCAATCTGATGGCAAGGCTACTTAATAAATTACATTTTAATCAGAATTCAAGCACTAGGATTTTCAGTTTCTCTAGTCCTTCCTTTCAGTACTCCAGACAGGAGGGGGAATCACCTGTTTAGTAAGGACAAAGTAGGCATAGAAAGCCATGGCACTCCCATAGGTGATGAAGTATGTGACCGGCTCCATGATGTCCCACGAATAGACCCACCACGTGAGCCATGCCAACGCTCCACCTTGCATTGACATCAAAGCTAAACCAACCCATAGAAGCCTGGAGGTCTTTGCATCGGCACTGTCCATAATTCTGGCTTTCATCTAGGGTGAAGAAATAAACACAGGAACTTGTTCAAACAAACATTAGTTGAGGAGCTCATCAGTTGCACTGCGTTTACTCCTGCAGGGCTGGATCCTTTCTCAGTGCTCTCCTCTTACACACTTACTTTGTGAAGAAAGAAAAGGACTGAAATCCAGAGGCAAACAGATCTCCTGGCTACTGAGCACCAACAGATGACACTGTTAATTTTCCCTTCCCACTGCTCGAGATTTACATCTGCTGGATTTCTATTTATCATTAAAGGCAGGTCTTGTTAACACTGAGGCTGGTCCTCACACGTAGCAGGTCCGAAGTCAAGGAAGAGTTTGCTCATCCTATCAGACTCCTGTTTCCTTCCTTCAAGCTGAGTTACCTTAACCTGCCCCAGATCAACATGTATAACTTCATTTCTTAGATTACAGCAACCATTAGTCCATACAATCTGCCTTTTGTCTTGGGACACAGGAAACTGCCACAGATAATTTTTAAGCTCAATGTTGGTTTTTTGTTTTTTTCCCTTTAATAGGTATTAAGAACTCATACAGCAACAGGTGATTAAGTGGGTGTTCAATCCCAATACCAGCCATGCTAAGGCTTGTTCCTGACAGTCTTCTCCAGATGTTGCAGCTTTTAATCAGCTAACATGCACTGCAGGAGAGAAAAAGAACTGAACTGGAAGTTATTTGAACTGCATTTGAATTGACTTTGTTTGCATGACAAATAGATACTCTATGCATCCATCTGATCATTTTCTATCACAAGACTTACTCCTGTTATGAGGAAATGCTTTTGCACTTAAAAACAGAACAACAACAAAGCCATCTCCCTCCCTTCCAACCTGTTCAAGAGGCATCAGCTGTTCTTTCAGGTGGTCCAGTTTCTGTAGCAATTCTCTCTCTTTCTTGATCTGGTGATCTTCTGAATGCAGAGCCACAAACAGTCTGTGAACCAGGGATCTGATATCTTCCATTTCAGTAGCATGCTCACTACTCAGCTTATCTGAAGAGAAAGTGTTTATCATTTCAAAATATTTCAAGAATTTACCCTTCACTGTTCTCTCCCCAGACCTACACCCATGAAAGCAAGACCATCCAATGGTACAAAACCAAAGAGAATTTTTTTTCTCCAGAGAGGTTCCAATTGTCTGAGACATGCCTTCCACTAGATTAAGCCAGACAGTCAGTGCTATTAAAACATGGCTCTTACCTTTTACAGGAGTTGACACACTGTACGTTGTGTTGTTGATAACAAGCTTAAAATCATTCATCAGTAAGACCTCCATCAAGGTTGCATCAGAGACCTTGCTACCATCTGCAGAATAAGATTTAAGATCTAGACAGATCATGCTTATCATAAAGAATCTTAAACGTTAGTGAATCTTTACTAATGTTTGGAAGGGAACTTTGGAAGGGTACTTTTAGTAAATCCTGTAACTGATGCTAAACATTAAAGAGGAACTCAGTGCATAGATTTGAATGCTTTCTCTACCAGCATCATGTGAGCAATCCTCTCAGCTTCATTAGCATTTACTATTATTCTTACTACTATTTCACTATGTTGTCTCCTGTGCTTTTCTCCAATGATTGGCTTAAATTGGAAATTGGCCTGGTTTGGACAGATTTGCATTTCAAGGCAGAAATAGCATTAAAAGAGCTTAGCCACACAGAATCTGGCTCTATACAAGCTTAGCAGACTGCTCCTCTGTGTTGCATACATTTCTCAAACTTAATTTCACCATGCTCTTCTGTATTAGTATCTGCATTTGCATTACTTGGATAAAGGACAATATGACTGAAAATCTTGAAAATTCACACATCACAATTATGGCCTTGGAACATGCACATGAATTTGAAAATATTTTATTCCCCCAAGCATCTCTCACTCTGACAATAATTAAAGTTTATAGAGTTGATCATAAAGAAAGAGCCTGCAAGCGTTTCTCATAAGAGACTTTTAAATCCCTGCTCGTGAGAATGTTCCCATGAATCAGAAGGAATGTGCATTTTTGAGTAAGCTTCAGAAAACCAGGCTTGGGGCTTATTTCTAAGAGTTTCAGCAGATGTAAAAATCAGGCCTGTGAATACAAAATTGGTTAGAAGTGTAATAATCTTGTCTTTACTACAAGCAGGCTCATATTTTCTCGTTATGATTATGACTAGAATTGACCAACTGGAACTGTAGCAAATCCATAAATTGTGATGGAAAGACTTGAATTTTGGTTTTGCCACCTACACACCAGTTTGTATCTGCATTTAAATCTACAATAAAGACTTTCTGGAAATTAAAACACCTTCAGAGAGACCTTACATTCAATTAAAGATTTATGTATTTCCTTAAACAAGCTGTTATAATCAACAGGAACAAGTCTTGTCAGTAGCATTTTTCATATTTTTATTACAGTAAGTATGAACAATACTTGCAATCATTCTGTTTTAATGCCAGTTCTGGCTGAGTTAAGATAGCTAGACAAACTGTCCAGTACAAGGCAGACCAGGAGCCACAGAGGCATTAGTATAAAACACTCTAGAGGACCCTTTCCTACTTCTCTCCTATGAAAAAGACTTGCAGGAACTCTACTCCACCAACACCACAGAGAACAAGCCAAGAAAAATATACTGTTCACACCTATTTGCAATGACTATATACTGCAGACTAGGGAAAAACTGAAATCTGCTATCAGGAAAGCTGTTGTAGAAGTTTTCTTCCTGCTTTTATACTTCTTCCCTACATTCCCTACTATTTTCTTTTGCGAGAGGTTCTTTCCCGCCTGCTAAGAGGAAACACTGCTGGGACATGAAGGGTCCAAGAGCCAGCAACAAGCCACTCCACATTAGCTGTTTGATCTGGGCTTCACTCCCTGTACATACAGAGGGTGTCTCTTCCTGCCTCTGCAAAGGGGTGCGCAGTAGCAGAAAACAGAAGCTTTATTCTTGAGCACAATGATCGGACTACTCACCTCACGTGGGTAGGTAAGTAGAACTGGAAGGATTTCATTTCAGAATTTGAAATGTTAATGTGCTATCCAAATGTTTCTTCCTTCTTCTCTTTTTATAAAGTGTTGTAAAATCAAACGTCATTTGTATGTAAATTGAGGTGACATTTATAAAATGACATTTAAGCAAAAAACGTTCCAAAAAGAAGTGCCACACAGGTACTTTGTTCTGGATCTGATACATTGCGGATTTATTAACCTGTCCAAACCTTTCATTAGCTGAAAAGTTGGAAAGTTTGAGGAGAAGAGTTTGTTTCGTTTTAGAAAATTCCATGCAGGCTTTCAGAAAAGTTTACTTTTCCTCCTACGCTTAAGCACAGGTATTTAAAGGTGAACAAAGGGCCACTTTTTATCTATAGGCATTTTGCAAGACTAACTACTGAAAATGAAAGTGAGTCATCAGATAGAGAACTAACATTTTCAATTAAGGCTGAGTTTCATTTAATGGCTAGATGACACTAAAAAGTATCTCCATTAAATCAAACCTTCATAATTTCTCATTAATAATACATTCTTAAATTCAACTCACAATACTTGACCAATAGTTTCTCTTTACAGTATCAGTTTCCTAATGAATTAATCATCTAAGCTGTTCTCTACCCTTACAATTGCCTGGCATCTGAGAATACAGAGTAGAGAATCAAGATATTTTTAATCAAAACAGCCAGCATTTGCATTCTAAAGTTGGAGTTTAAAGAGATGACACTAGGTGAAAAGAGCCCAAATTTCTTTACAGTTTGGAATCCGGTGTTCATCTATACTGAAAATGTTAGACTTTTAGGTTTCTCACAGAAATCATCTTGTGTTTCACAAAAGTCTGAAGTTTGCCCTGAAGCAGAATTGTGTAGTTAACATAAAGCTTTTGAAGACCTAACACGGAAGAATGGGGCTCAGCAGTGAATCACAAATACTTAATTCATGGGTGCTCTTTTGCAAAGATAGCAGTACTGAGAGATACTGTAGGAGAACATTCTTGGTTAGCCCTGCCTTATCTATCCCACAGAAGAATCATTTTTACTGTGAACTTCCATTGTAAAGGGGAAGTTACTGGCAATGATGATTTGCCACAGTGCTGTCTGAAAATATGGGAGAATCCTACAGAATTATCTTTTCTAGAGACGTTTCTACCTTTGCTGCCCAGTAGACACAGTATTCAAGAAGAACAGCACAAGACCATCCTGCCAGGAAAATCAACTCACACAACTTCCTGCATACAGGAAGCTCATGCACTGTGATCCACACAGATTATATCTCTCCAGAATTTCAGAAAGCTGCCCTTTATCACTGCATGCTTTTTCTGTTTGCTTAGCTCCCAATATGTTTTCCACATGAATTCATATCTGCATTAAGGCAAGCATTCTTCCAGCTTCAGAAAAGACAGAACAACTGGCAGACATCTGGAAGAACCAGACTGGTTGCCTTTCAGAATGATCACAGAGGACAAGGATGGAAAAAGATGAAGAAAACCAGAAGAGACATTTATTCAGAAACAGCATGATGAATAGAAGCTATTTGAAAGAGATAACAGAGGAGTCTACTGGGAAGGTTACAGTAGTATGCCCAACTCTGCATTTTACATCAGCTCAAGAAGACTCAGATACTGAATGTGAAACCCAAAAAACATCAGAAGCATTAATCTCAACAGTAACAAAGCAAAATCTGATGCAGGTTTTCAATCATGCTTCAGAGGGGAAGTACAGATGATTTGAACAGCAATTAATTCATTCTGAAGACAGACAAATGTAAGATACCTATTGCAAAGACTTCTGCTTTCACAATTCCTTTATCTTCTCTCTGTACATCCTGCAGAAATGCCCCCACTGTGGCTACCACTGGTTTAACCGCAAACTGGCAGCGTTCTCTTCTTGTAGGCAATGTCAGAGTTATCATGGGAAGACCATGCCTGTAATTAATAGTTACTTCTGGGAAATGAAGAAAAAAATGAAATGAGTGAAAAAGCTGTATTGTAAGTTGCAGTTTAAGTTAAAGCTATTTTTAAAGCATGGGATAAATAAAGATCACCACATGGTACATATCCTTAATGAATATAGTGCTTTATCTTCTGGGACATGCTGCTTCATGGCAACCTAAAGCTCCACAGGAAGAAGAGGGGCAGTGCTGAGCTCTGTTCTCTGGTGACAGCAACAGAGCCAGAGGAAACAGCCTGTAACTACGTCAGGGGACAGTTAGGGCTGCCCAGGGCAGTGGTCATGGTGCCAGGTTGCCAGAGTTCAAGAAGCATTTGGACAATGCTCCAGTCAAAGGGTTTGAATTTTGGGTAGTCCTGTGTGGAGCCAGAATTGGACTCCATGATCACTTTGGATCTCTTCCAGCTCAGGGTATTTTATGCTTTAGATTCTATGCATGTGACACACAATGAACTTGGTCTCGCAGCAGAAGCTGCATCACCCGGCAGAGTTAGGCACTGGCCTGCCTGCTCTCAGCTGACAGTGTTGTGCCTCCTGCTCAGAGAAACTGGCTGACAATTGATAGCCTTACCATCAGAGGGCACCAGCATGCTGTAGCAGGCTCCTTCCCGCCGTGCCCAGGTCCCAGCGTGCCTCCAGAGCTGTACCTGCTGCACAGACATGGGAAAATCATTCTAGCAAGGTGAGAATACAAGTTAGCTCATAACTGGCAGCACCAGCTATGGGGATCTATTTCTGTACCATATTACAGGCAAGATGTGCTTCTGAAAAAGCCCCTTCCTTACCAACTCTTATCTAAAAGGCAGAACCATCTTTCCAGAAAGCATGAATGCTGTCAAAGGTATAAGTGACCTATAATTAAACTTTTTGTGCAGCACAGTTTAAATAACTCAGGAAAAAAAAGGGAAGGAAAGAAAGGGGAAAAAATAGTGTTTCTGAAGTGCTTCGTGCAACTCTCTCCTGAAGGCACAGGAGCTCTGCAACACTCGGCTTGTAACAAGACCCAAAACTACATGCATCACTTCACTGCAGTCTCACTGCTGAATCACAAACAGAACATACTCAGTTGTATCAAATAAAACAAGAGCCAGTGCAGCCTGATGGCACTCTTTGCTTCATTACACACCACTAACCACAGTCTAAGCTTTGGCATTTAGGGCATTAAAAAGCAATGCTAACAAGGCAGCTTGCCAGGCAAAAAGCACTCCCTCTCCAACAGCTGCTGGTGCACTGGGGAGAGGTGACCAGGACAAGTTGTTTCCCAGAAAAGGTTCGGATGTAACACAGCACAGCACCCTGAAGGCCAAAGCAAGCCCTGCAAGCCAAAGCCCTGTGAAAAAGCACAGAAGGCAAGCTGCAAAGGCAGGACCCACCTGCCTGTAATCCTTATGGGATATATTGGTTTGTGAAGAATCCCAGGCTCTACTATTTGAACAGGAGTATCTCCTATTAGGATGAATACAGAATTTATCTGTAAGAAACAAATCTATCACACACTGTGTGATTCAAAGGCACTGACTCCGCCCTGGGTTTCTGCCTGGAACAAGCACTGCTTAGAATTTAAAGATAAAAATAAATCACTCTGGGAACATCCAACACTAAGAAGCTTGTAAATTATAAACTTCAGGCACCAGAGGCAGTCAGAAACCTACACAACAGCAAAATGCCTAAGCATGCCAGCATTATTAAGCACACAAGCAGCAGCAGTCCCAGAGAGACAAAAAGCTGACAACACATACTGTGACTTGCTCACGCCCTCACCTGTGCAAAAGGCTTGCCCTGTAACAGAGCACATGTACACACCTACTAGACTCCACCTACAGCAGGCAATTACACGCACACACACACACACACAGAGACACAGAGACACAGAAACATACATAAGGAAACAACATTCAAAATGTGATCTGTTTTTCACAGAAGATCCTGAAACACAGAGAACTGCCATGTGTAATCTTAACAGCATCCCTTACACTGTAAATATGTTGCTTGTCTGTTCTAATGGATATTTTTTTAAAAGTCACAGTGCAGTAGAGTATAACTGAGTTCCCAACAAGCTCTTTCTACACAAGAATAACTTGGCAGGGTGAGGGGCTGAGCAATCCTTCTCTGTGCATATCCAGGTTTGTACCTCATGTTTCAGTGAAGCCATTAAGCCATGAGTTTGCCCCCTACAGCAAAACCACCATCCCCTTCTCAAACAGTCTGGAACAGCCGCCACTGGCACAGAAATGAAAACAGCCACCACCATAGCTGGAAAGGAAGGCTTGCGCAGGACAGGGAAAGACCAGAATAGCAATATCACCTTCCTGTTTTAAAATAAATAAATAAACTCTAAAGAAAACAAAAACACACTGCCTAGCTACATAACATTTTCTGGCAGTATCTGTTCCGGCAAGCAATCTTTTAGGGTGTTGTCTGACTGCTTGCTGCAAACTGAAGCTCAAATTTATGTGTGATGAGTTTGATATGAAAGCCAGCACCATCATTGCTGCAGGAGGCAGCAGGAAAGCCTCTCATCTTCCTCTGCACCATGTACGCAAATACAAATCGTAACTCCTGCTCTGTGGAAAATTACAAAGTAGGTAGGGAAGGTAAGAATTTTATATATATATATATATATATATATTATATATAAAGTATATAATATAATATATATATATATATATTTCCTTATGAAAAAGTTACCTTGAAATTCTACCAAAAAAAACAAAAAAAATCACCATCAGACTCTAAGAACACAGAGAGCACCAATGGCTTTATTTCATTTTGGCTTGCCATTCCAAAAGATTATAAAAATAATCTGAATCAAAATGCAGCTGGCCATATTTGAAACCATTTTGACATGGCTTACAGAAGCCTCAGATGATACAGCAGTTTTGTTATTTTAATAACAAAGACAGCGTGCTATCCCACAGCTGCCCACTCAGCTGTACTTTCCAGCGCAGGGCTTGCTGTGCCCTTGTGGTCCCAGCAGCACCTCAGCAAAGCTCGTCTGTCTTTCTAGTGTCAGCACAATGTCAATAGTGCCTCAAGACAAACTCACGAGTGGCCTTTACAAAAAAACACAATGCTACAGTCCCCAGTATCCTCACTTCCTCCTCTCTAAGGTAACAGTAGGAAAATGAAATTAAAAAAACACTGTAATGCAATATGCCACTAAGCATCAGCTTTTTGCCTTTATCTTAAATACGCCGCACTAGAACACAGTAACTAAAAGGCATCTTGCAGCAAGCTCTCCAACAGGCATACTACTGAAACCTACTGACATGTTCCATATTAACCGGTATGGTTTCTGGTTGTTGTTTTTTTTTTGGTGTTGGTTTTTGTGTGCATGTTTTTGTTTTGCATTTTGTTTTAAACCTGCAATAAACACAGCCAATGTCCACTTCAGTCTGATTTTTTAAGAGAAGCAAACCAAGCAATCAACTAATTACAGAATAACAAGCTACAATGTGAGAGTTAACTATCCCCAGACATTTCAGAAAGGCTGAAAACCAAGGGAAACACAGTATTTCCTTTTACTATTTTCGCAAACCTTCTTCCCTTTCCCTTCCTACTGAGGAAGGAGACCTAGAAGTCTTTTTGCATCCAAGTTATCAGAAATCTTCCATCTTCATCCAGTTTCAGTCGAGTCTACCCGTCCAAAAAGTGCTATCGTTCCCAACCTACCTCCTCTTTGGAACAGAAGGAAGGATACAACACCTATAACTAAGATTGCAAACCCAAGAGGCTAAGATTTGAAGAGAAAGCGATTGTAGCATGGAGAATGTGCTTGTTTTTATCAAAAACAAAAGCAAACCTACTCTGAGAGCTGCGCCGTCTGTTCTCTAACAGCACACAGTGAAAAGAGCAGTCTGTCAGCACAGATGGGACTTTTCATTTCGCCCACTGAATGCATCTTAGTTCTTGTGCTGTGCTTTCTTGACAGAAACCCCAACCCAAAAAACGCTGCAGTATTTGACTTTAAGGATAACAAGACTTTGTTTTAAAAAATACACTTACAATATATCTTATTAGATAAGAAAATGGACTAGCTGAATCTTCTCCTACAAAGGTTCAAGAAAGTGCACATCTTAATGCATACAGCTGCTTTCATATCTCTCAAAAACATGCTTCTATTCAACTCTAGGGGAAATAGTAATTCTTCAAATTGCCAGTCAGGAAGAATCTTGTTTATATTGCAGAGATAACAGAAGAGAAATAACAGGATGCAAAGTCAGATTCATATGCTTGCAGCTTTATCACAGTTTTAGCCAACTCCTGTTTTCTTCTTAAAGCACTTCTCAGATTGAAAGCATTGGGCAGCTTGCAACACATAGGAAAAAAAAAAAAAAGACATTATTCAGAAAACAGAACTGCTTGTCAACACTTCCATTTAGAATGGACTCCTCTGCTTGGAATATAACTAGCCGTACCTGTGCCCTAAAGCATAAAAAGCAGGGGTTATCTTAATTTATCTAAAAGAGGTACTTTGCAAAATGTATGAATATTGTTTTCTCAGACTTTTCTTTATTTTAATGATGCCTTAAGGCATTTGAAGCTTGGCTGAGCAAAAGTAAAGTACTTGGGAAATCGGATTGATGCCAGGCTTAAAATTAGCACCTGGCAGAGGTAAGAAGGTGAATTAGAAGCACCAGCAGCAGAGGAGTTCCCAGGGATGGCTCATGCCTGATTTTCATTGTTTGCTTGCAAGTAATGCACTGCCAATCAGCTCTGCCAAGCAGACCATGAAAGAGAAGCAGGTGCTGAGGAAGAAAGGAAAGCTGACAGCTCAACAGCATCGCTGTTGCCTCTTCATCATCTCTCCAGCAAGTTTTCATCTCATCTCCACTGCAGGCACAACCAGTTCCTGCCTACAGAGTAGGTACTTAGCCTTATGTCCACGTCTGTCTTGGCCCCAGCATAATTCCAGGGGCAAGTAGCTGCATGCTACACTACTAAAAAAATTTCTCCTTTTTACCTGCAGCAACATTTGTCTAGATAATTATTGAAACACAACAGACCATTAAAAAAATGCCTTTATAATAAACATCCATACCTCTGTTCCTTCATTTCTTGTTAAAGATCTGCCATAGAACTTGCCCAAGCATTTCAGAAATAGCGTTTTGCACAGGCAACTGTGAACGTGTACTTTTCCAAAGGGAGAACAGTTTTCTTTTGATTAGTTGATGAAAAACTGGTCGGAACGGACAGTCTGATCTCAGTATACTTTTTAACCAATGAAATCAATGGCATAATAAGGCAAGTAAGCAGATGGCTAATTGCTTTCCTTCCAAGAGATTCTGATGGGCAACATCAAAAATATTTTTGAGGCAAACACTCTAAGAACATCCACAGCCAGTAACCAGAGAACTTAAAAACATAATTTTATAGAAACTGCAATAGGTTTTGTCAAAACAAACAGCACCAGCTGCAATACGTGGAGTTATCCAGCCCACCCACCTGTCTTTACTCTGTATTATAAGGCTGATCATTTATTTAACTTTTCTATTGAGCAGGCAATGAGAATGGAAAAACTGAACTTTTCCAGTACAGCTTTCCAAAGGCTTTTTCTAAACTTTTTTATCATAAAAGAAGCAAGTAAGCCCAGCACAGGAAGATGAAAGCCCCCATGTGCTCTGAATGGTCTGGCACCTGTGCTGGA